ATTCATCATAAGTCATGAACTGTCCTCGATAGACGACTAATTCACTTTGATCATGTTTTAATTGTCGTTGTTGTTTGTAAATGCTAGATAATTGTGTACAAAGATCAACAATATAAAATCTGTATGTATATAATTCATCAATATTTTCACTTCTTAATGCGTTGTTAACTGATAGATATAAAAAACTTTCAGCCGTGTACCACCGTATAGCATCATCACTACTTTTATATTCTCGTTGAAAATTTTCAATTTTTTCTAATTGTCTTAAATTATCTTTATAATATTGTCGACATTTGTCTAACATTTCGTTTTTAGCTGATTCCGTAGTTGTTGGCATACGTTTCAATATATCGAACAATATTTGAAACCATAAAAATGATGCTGAATCTTTTGTTATATAACGAACAGAATTTTGTTCTTGATGATATTTTTCTTGTTCATTCGTAAATAAATAATTTAATTTAATTTGTTGTCGATTAAAGAAACGTACAGTTTTTCTTATATCAGAATCAAATTGATGTTGATCATAAACCATTTTATTATAATCCAATGGTATTATAAATATATTCATATTCTCTCTTAAATCATTCAATGATATTTGTTCATTATCGTATATAAATAGTAATATTTGTTGTTGTTGTTGCACTTTGTCTCTTATATATTCATAAACTAACTTCTGTTCATCAAACACACTGATTGTTGATCCATTTATCTGTTCAAGTAAATCTTTTGTGTATTCCGTACATCTTGTCTTTTCAGCGTCAACATCACGGTTACTACGAAATAAAACTATTACTAGATTTTCATTATGTAATTCTCTTGAATCGAAAAACTGATCCACCATTTTTTGTACACTACTTTTCTTAAACAGAAACAAGAAGTTGATCCTGTAATAATGTCCATAAAAAAATGAGGCTATTTACAGATGATGTTAACCCACAGAGATGGAATGTGGTCAAACTCATCTGCTTCGATCGTTTTGTGGCTGGATCCGAACCCGATCTGAAAATATTTTTCCTTGATCCAAATGAACCTCGAAATACTTAGATTTCTAGAAAGAAATTGCATAAAATATCGAACATTTTTTCTCGAGGTCCGAATGGGATTCATAATATTTTTTTCGAATTCGAGTCAATCATTGAGCTGGCTCGTTTCGATGTCTGTCAGACACTATGATTGGTTCGTTGGACAAAAGGTGACTAACTACTTATACTTGAGTCAGTTTTCTCACAGTAGGAACTGCTATGGTCTGCGCCCGTCAATGAGGTAGCTTTATCTTGTAGAAGTATGTTAGGGGTCATAAATCCGGTTTTTCGTGATGCTCCTGCTTCACTAAGATTACCACTCTATATGTCTTGTGTTATTCCGAAAATTGATTACTGCTCTGCTATCTATGACTCAGGCTTTGTTAATCATACTGAGCCCTTGGAAATTGTTCAGTGTTTAGCAGCTAGAATTATCGCACGAGATTTCAACTACCTACATGAAAGTAAGAGTCTAGTAAAAAAACTGGAGATTCTTGAACTAGACGTTTATATTTTTATTTAGTTAACTACTTCCACTGAATAAACAATTACTCCTTTCGAAGCTCTTATAATCTTATCAGTCTTTCTGATAAGAACATCTGATTGTAATAAGTCCACTTGCGCTGCATCAGTGTACCTTTCGCTAAATTCGAAACAATGAAATCATCTTTCTTTTGGCACACTCCGGTCGACTGAAGCAGAATACCAACTGAGCCCTTTGTCAGTGCTTCTTATCTACATATCTTCGAAGCTGGTTTGCGTGGCCACTTACAATGTTAGCACTTAGTGTCATCTTAACATCCGATATGTGGACTCCAACTCCATTTCAAACTTTTAATTGTGTTTTCTTTTCCTTTTTTTGTTTCTTTTTTCTTTTATTTTTAGTGTATTAACGTGGCACACTAAATGATATCATCATGTGAAAATACAACAGAGAAAAAAAATGACTCGTGGAAGAAAAGCAGTGTTTGATACCACCTTATGTTAATTTGAAGGCAAACTGAGTTGAAAAGAGTACAAAATCAAATCGATGAAAACAGAACATTCGTTTGTTAGAAAGAATTTATAAATAAACACATAGAAAATTAGAATCATCGCGTTCTCGTAGAAGAAAAAAGAGCCGTATCGAATACGACATCTACTATGTTTTCTCATCTCGCATAGATTGCACTCCTTTTGTGCATTCCTTTGTCGTTTCTGTTGCGACAAGAAAAAAAAGAAAGAACGAAGTAAATATAAAATCAGATCTTATTAATGAAAAGAAAATAGAGCTGTAGCACTTAAAAAGAATGAGATTAATTCTCATTCATTCTGTTAGATTTCTGATTCTTTTTGAAGTTTGAAACTGAGTTGAAAAAGTTGAAAACTGAGTTCGAATGAAGGAATCATGTGCTCTTACCCATAACATTGTCCAGAACTCTAATTCGCAGTGAGTTTGCACTACCAAGACACTAACCAGATTTCGCAGGTTTCGTGTTGGCAACCCCCTTGCAAAAAAAGCGCCAAATCTTGATATGTCCTGATTAGATCCTGGTAAACTACTTTGAAGGAACCTAAGGAAATCCTGTGGTTCATGACCAGATAATCAGGAAAGTTCCTGACAAATTTCCTGGATACTTCCCAATGACACGTTTCTACCAGGACTTATGAGTTTCCTGACCTGGTTCCTGGTTCAAAACAATAGAAAACCGTTCAGAATCATGAAAAATCTTGTTTTGTAACCTGCCCGGATCATGAACACTTCCCAATGACATGTTTCTACCAGGATTCAGTCCTTTCCTCAGGAAAAAGTGACGCATGGGTATCTCATTCTAAGAAACAACACAATCTAAAATGAATATATCAACTTCAAATAGATTTCTCATCACTCATACAGTATCTGTCAAGCTTTTGAAAAAAGATGTTTCTTTCTAGAAACAATGAGGATATATCAAATACGATATACTTCTTTTCTGCATTTTGACAAATATGAATGATATCATCATGTGAAAATACAACAGAGGAAATAAATGCCACGTGGAAGAAAAGCAGTGTGTCTTATTCGATATGACCTTATGTTAATATGAAGGCAAACTGAGTTGAAAAGAGTACAAAATCAAATCGATGAAAACAGAACATTCATTTGTTAGAAAGAACTTACGAGGGAAGGCCACCAAGTCTTCCCTCGCTTTTGAGCTGAGAGTCAGTTGATCGGGGGTAATCGAGCATGCTGATTCCGAATTTCATAATGATTTGGGCTAATTTTTACTTTAAAGCCGCGGTTTTTGAAGGTCTTGGTTTTCAAGCCGAAAAACCATTTGCACTAAAAAAATTTTTTGATCTGTCCAATTGTTAGAGTACGTCGCGAAACCTACAGAAAACCACTTTTCAAGGTTTCATGAGAGGTTCTAAGCGAGTTAGCATATCATTCATGCCTATTGAATGATATGCTGCATGATTATTAGAAACATGACACTGGTTCGATTGATGCATGTAACATATAGAGTAACTTTACAGGTCAACGTTGTACAGTATGAACTTGAGGAATGGCTTCTGACGGATTTTAAAATGTACCGCTCCGATATATCGCATAAAAGAACCTGATATTAATGAATCAAAATGAGAGAGAACAATTTCAATATACGACAATTCAATGGAATGTTTTGTTAAGGTTTTAATAAAGTGCCTGGCGGCGATCTGCATCGAAATTTAAGTGTATTATCATATCCTTGGTGTTGTTTTACACTATCGATAGATCCTTGGAACCCAGCACTTGCAAAAACAACGTGTCATTTGTTAGGTGATTTGGTATTTCACTCAGTTAAAACGATATTAAGGAAATAGGTATAATAATTTAAGTACGCGGTAATATGTTTGACGTGGAAACCGATCTAAGCGTAAAATCGCTTTCTGAATAAGATCGAGAGCTATACGTAATCGTCCATGCTAACCATGAATATGAGGTTCCATTGTATCCATGGTGGCTTTTTGTTTGGATCGTAAGTATTGGGATCTCCAGAATGTCAAAATATTTTTGAATGAGCCATTTTTCGGAGTATCTTAAATTACTTATGTTTTCCAGTTTCATGCCTAACAGATGAGTGTTTTTGCATTTCTGTTAAATAACATTTGCAATTTCTCCTTTCGACAGCCCGGCAGAATAAGCCTTAGATACAAGAAAGTTCAAAGCACCATCTAACAGCGATGTATCCCATCGGTCTTTCAAACACAAGGCTCGAACTAAGAAACTCTGCTCTACATTTCCATATAGATCTTCATTTATCATTGTTCTCTTATGGTAAGTTTTCCCGGACACCATGATCACTCTTCTAAGAAGCTCTGAAAACGTGAGAAATGCACAGAAACATAGGTGATATCGATACTCCAAATCCTGTGACGATGTTTGTTTCCAAGCACAAATAGTAGAACCAAGTGTAATGGCATTTAAGAATTAATTATTTTAGACTACATATCTAGAGAAACAAAACAAAAATCACATTGCACGGAAAACCGATTCAAGTGATTTGAAACTTCAGATGTACACTCATTTTTGATAGCCTTACACGATAAAGAAAAATGAAAATTTTCGAAATACTGGAAGAGGGTATAATCGTTTTTCGCATAATTATCTAAAAGTATCTATAACCAGAGGACTACTTTTGTATTTCTTTGTCTTCCATATAGAGGAGAATATTTTACTTCAGCTCTGACAGTTTGAAGTCATCTGGATTGATTTCCCATACGCTGTGATTTTTTTATTTTTCTAGATATGCAAATTTTCCTACAGTAATTTATTGTAAAATACCAGCCAGTACACTTGGTTCTGCTATTTGTGTCTGAAAACAAACATTGTCACAAGGTTCAGAGTGCTCGATAACCTTTTCTATGTGTTTTTAAAGTTCCGAGGTATGAATAGGTTATGCAGTTTCTGTAATGACTGACCAACAATAGATATTTTGCGACCTTTCAGAAGTTATTAACCAAATGGGCGCTGAAAAAGACTGGGTGTTTCCGCACAGCTCGCTTTGAATTTGAGCTATATGGTTCTCAACGTGTTGGCCTCGATCCAAATTCCCACACTTTGTGCTACACTTTGAGCTCGTTTCTCCAAAACTACATGTCAGATCTTTGTGACATCTTACACTTAGTATTACTTACGATACAAATTTTAAAGAGCACCTTTGAGAAGATCTTAAAATCTCAAAACCAGCTTTCTAGGGGATCTCAAGAAACCCAACTTTTCGAAACTCTTTTCAACACTTTTATAATACCGAGCTCCAAATCGAGATTTTTGGTCGGGGCCAACACCCCGCCCATACAACTCAAATTTAAAGAAAGCTGGAGAGTTTGTCTTTCCTCTTTTCTATTGCATACCAAGATTTTCTTCATTTAGAAGCTTGGAAAGAAAACAACTTAACAGATAGTCAAACAGTTTTACGTGTTGATATATCATCCTTCATTAATAAAGACAAAACTCTCAGAAACGAACAATACATAGCAAATTTGATAACATTTGCTACGTCGGTTGCAACTAAATCTAACTTGATTTTTACCAAATCCGACATGGTGAACGAGGTTAAAAGTCAACTAAATACATTACGATCTAATCATAACGAAAACCTTAAAAAGATGAGAAAACGAGATTCTGATTTATGGTCTGCAAAAATTATGGATATTAAAGTAGAACGTTTACAAAATCCACAAATTATTGTTGATTTATCTAGTGACATTCATATTCTTAATACTGATATCGATAATACACAACCGTATCCTATACTAGACACTGAAAGTGCTATTAGTAATAATATTTTACCATCTACGGAATTGCATCTACAATTGGTAGATGGAGATCTTACAACTAATGTTAAAACAATGACAAGTATTTATCCAACGCTAAATAATACTGCAAATTCTCTCGAATCTCTATTTGCTCAAAAATCCGAAATTGTAGCGTTAAATGAAGAAAACATTAGAGTTATATTTGATTATGATATTGTATATCATTTACTAGATAGAACTAATACTCGTAATGATATCAGAGTGGCTGATTGTATTTGTGTCATTAAGCAGCAATTGATTCAATGGAAAATTCCTGAAGAGCGAATTCAATGGTTCGCAATCCGTCAGTCATTTAATAAACGTTTCAGTACTATTCAATTCTCTGATAGACCATCAAGATTATTTGTTGATAGATAATCAACAAATAACCTTTTTATTCAAATTCAAAGCAGCTGAGGTAATTCGCCTTCTTACGTAGTTTTCCTCTTTGCACTTTCTTTACTCTAGTAGTAAAATTATTTCATCAGGTTCTATTTATGATTTTCGTACTACAAGGCGTATATAGAATTCTGCTTGAAAGTTTAGGCAAAATTTGATAAGAGCAGAAAAAAAAATGTTGAGTCTCAGCTATTTTCAAAACGCTCTATTGCCTATTCTTTTCTTTAGAATCAAAACTCTTTCATCGAAACACATTTCACCAGACATCGTGACCGAAAATTAAAATATAACGCTGATGATATTAAAGAGTTTATATATTGTCAAAATGACATAAAATTAGATAGTGAAGGTCGGTTACTTGAAAATCGTTATTATCGATCTTTCCTTTTATGGAAAGTTGAGAATTACTTATCGAATAGTGGTTACCAACAACTAAATAGGATAGAAACAAAAGATAATATTAAATGTCCACCGTTTTCTACAATTAATGAATTGAAAAAAATATATAGTAGCTGGATACCATTAAAAACACTCGAATATGGCTGTTACATGGATGTGCGTTATGCGATTTTGATGTTAACTAGTTTAAATCCACAT